TCATTACCACATTTTTCTCCCCCCGTCGTCACAGTCGCATCCACTCAAGGCGCTGCACACACACACACACACACACACACACACACACACACACACACACACACACACACACACACACACACACACACACACACACACACACATATCTCCCCGGGGTTTGCTCTCTCCTGCCCCTCGAGGCCTGGTGTGGTGTAACACGGGAGGCTGGTGGAATGCGCCGCCGCTTGTCACTCACGCCACGCTCTTGCTATCTGGCTAATAGGCCCACTCCTGCTGCCCCGCGCTAAGCCTACTGCCGCTGCCTCCACACCCACAACAAACCACACGACTGACTCACCACATCCACACCACCAACCTAACCTAACTAAACAAGTCTCAAGTGTTATATTTTATTTTTTCTCCTCCACAAGATTATTTGTTTTAATGTTACTGATAATAATTAAGAGCCAGAGCCACGTGAGTCTGAGACGCCTTCGGGTACAAACAAACAAACAAACATTAAAATTATACGTAAACAAATAAGTTAAATTTTATCACTTATATAAACATCGATTTTTATAAACATTTCCAATTCTATAAACACACACGGACACGGACACACACACACACAATAACTTACAACAACTGTACGCGTCACACTGGTTTTCGCGTAATCCCCCGTTAATTGGAATGGATTTCTAGTTTAAATTCAGTTACGATCACTTTCTTTAGTGCTGCAGTTCTGACGTAACGGCCTCCTGCGTCACGTGACCTGGCCAGGTATAGACGCGTCACCTGACATCACGCGCAGTAGGTGTTGGTGCTGGGGGAGGGGGGGGGTAGTTTATGAGAGGAGAGAGGGGGGGGAGAGAGAGAGAGGGGGGAGAGAGAGGGGGAGAGGGAGGAAGGAGAGAGGGAGAGGGAGGAAGAGGAGAGGGAGGTTCTCTCTTATCACGTTCTCAACCTACAGGGAAAGAACTGGTGTAGTGGTGTATGGGTCCACGGTGAGGAAGGATGAAGGAGGGTGTTGGAGGATGAAGGAAGGTGTTAGAAGAAGGAAGAGGAAGAGGAGGAAGGAAGAGGAGGTCAACACAAACTACCACAACATCACCACCACCTACAGATCAACCACCTCATCTTAACACTATTATTACATACGTTTACTTAATCAATATTGTGAGAGGAATACATATGAAAGAGGGGATGGGAAAGAGAGAGAGAGGGGAGAAGAATGGAACTGGGGAGGGGGTGAGGGTAGATGAATAGGAGGGGGGAAGGAGGGGAGATAGTGAGGGATGAGGATGAGAGACGTGAGGAGGGAGGGAGGGGTGAGACGTGAGGTTGGGGGAACACAGGAGGGAGGTGAGGAAGGGAGGGAGGGAGGGAGGGAGGGAGGGAGGGAGGGAGTGGAGATTGAGAGACGTGAGGGTGGGGGAACACAAGAGGGAGGGAGGGATGGGAGACAAAGAAAGAGGGAGGGAGTGAGGGGAGACAAAGACAGCCTCCCTCCAGCTGTAACACGAGAGTCGCTCACAGGAAAATTTTCTTTATATCAAAAAGGAACAACAAGATGAGAGGAGGACCACACCACCCCACGTCCTCCTCCACCACGCCACGTCCTCCACCACGCCACGTCCTCCACCACGCCACGTCCTCCACCACGCCACATCCTCCACGCCACGTCCTCCACGCCCCCCGAGATAATCCTCATTTCTCACTATTATCCTCAACGTACCATTAACAAATTATAAATAATCAATGTGCCTGACTTCTGCCTCACGACGACCTCTCAGGGGGACCAGAGAAACAATATACAATACTTTGGTAAATAATATTTACTTTGAGTGGTAAATAGACAAAGAATATATATATATATATATATATATATATATATATATATATATATATATATATATATATATATACCAACACCTCAACCTGCCAGGATTCGAACCCACGGCCCACGAGCCCATGACTGTGACTGGGGCTAATGAAATATATATATATATATATATATATATATATATATATATATATATATATATATATATATATATATATATAAACACTTTGAGTGTGAATAAAATATAATACACTTGGAGGTAAATAAACAGTATATATATATATATATTATATTCTCGAAAGTAAATAAAATATATATAGTTTCATATTTACACAGCGTGAAGACACAACACGTTCACACCTGGTCATGTAAGGTCACGCGATGTTGGTTGTCTTACACACACACACACACACACACACACACACACACACACACACACACACACACACACACACACACACACACACACACACACACACACACACACACACACACACACACACACACACACACACACACACACACACACACACACACACACACACACACACACACACACACACACACACACACACACACACACACACACTCGTCCACACGTTTGTGAATCAAACAAGTAATTTATTTTTTGTTTACTATTTTGTCATATATCAACACACACACACACGTACAGAGGACAAAAAAGCACGCACATACACGAACACAGGAAAGAATCATGTGTGTGTGTGTGTGTGTGTGTGTGTGTGTGTGTGTGTGTGTGTGTGTGTGAGGAGGACCGCACACACTATAAGCCTCTTCTCTACACTTCCCTCACCGTGACTTGCATTCTACCTTGGGAGATGAAGTGTAAGAGGGAGAGAGGGGAGAAGGGGGAGAGTATTGTAGCGGGTGAGGGAAGAGGGAGGAGGAGAGGAAAGAGAAGGTCATAGTGGGTGAGGGACGAAGAGGTAGCCTCCCGCCCCTAAATACTGCGAAAGGACACCCCCATCCTCCTCACTGGCTTAACCAAGTCCGGTGAACCACAATCCTGGTAAGCGACACACACACACACACACACACACACACACACACACACACACACACACACACACACACACACACACACGGGATGGGGGTACCAACAATAAGTGGTGGTGGGGGTTAGAATCATCGTCACACACACACACATGGGGTGGGGGGTGCCAACAATAAGTGGTGGTGGTGGGGGGGGTGAGGGGGGCGTAAGGAATCATCGTCCACTCACAATATCTCGCCGCCTCCCGTTCATCTCTCGCCATTGTCCACCACTGAAATATGTGCACATAATGTTGACTGGCGACCAATAATACGTGAGCCGCCCGCACCAGACAAGTGGCCCGCCTCACTCTGCTGCTCCACCTGCTGCTGTACCTGCTTCACCTACTGCTGTACCTGCTTCATCTGCTGCTGTACCTGTTTAACTTGCCGCTGTACCTTCTCTACCTCCTGCTGGACTTCTTGTTGTACCTACTTTACCTGCTGATATACCTTCTCTACCTCCTGCTGTGCCTACTTTACCTGCTGCTGTACCTACTTTATCTGCTGCTATACCTGCTGTAGTGCCGACTTTACCTACTCTACCTGGTTCTACTGATGCTGTAATTGTCCCAGATTTGTGTGTGTGATTCCTTACAACCCTCCCCCCCCTCATGACCACTTATTGTTGGCACCCACCTAACTGAGAGGCCTACCACATAACCCACGTCTCTACACACACACACACACACACACACACACACACACACACACACACACACACACACACACACACACACCGAGAATCAACTACCTGTACACCTGGGAGAGGGAAGTAAGCCGCCAATACAAACATTCTACCATTCATTATTCATATATATGTAAATTGGTAGCGTTGTTTATGTATACGGGACACCTATTACACGGGGCGGGCGTATATACCCTTCAACGTGTCACTGGTCCACGCTGGAGCTTCGATTAAAAAAAAATCAATAAATAAATAAAAAATAAATAAATCAAAAATCAAAATCAAAAGGAATTTTTTTTCTGTCGACACGAAAAAAAATGGCGTTTCTAAATAGGAAAAAAAATAGGAAGATTTTATATTTTTATTTCAGGTTAATTACATTCTTAATTCCTACCACGTAATTTGGATTCGGACGTGGGGAAAAAATCATGTGTTCGTTAAACTTACTTTTTTTTAATGGGTTGAGAGAGAGAGAGAGAGAGAGAGAGAGAGAGAGAGAGAGAGATACTGGTGCGTGTGGGGGAATACTTCTCTTAACAGACACACATCACACATAACCCCACTCAGTAAAGCTGCCTGTTGCCCTAAATAAACACTGTAATTCTAGTTGTATTAACATAACATAACATTTTGTAGTAGACTAAAAACTTTGGGTCGTTAAGAGTGAAATAAATATAGACCTAATCCCCTTGCTATATTATATTAAATAAGTCTTATATTCTGTAATTAATCTCAGCCTTTCCTCACATCCAAATATAACACCTTGTAGAGTTATTAGTAATTCTTAAGACTTATGTATTACCTTAAATAAAATGTGCAATATATTTCGTTCCTTCACAAAATACTACGATGCATAAATTGTTTATTGTGAGACGGAGAAATGGCGTGAAAGTTGTACACGTGAGCTACAACACTATCAACACCAGGTAGACTAAGACACAACACAACACAACACAACACAACACAACACAACACAACACACTACATTACCCACTGATGAAATAATCCAAGTAATGCCACCAAGACCTTCAGTAACACGTGTCGTCACACCGTAACACACACACACACGTCACAGGTTAAACTTACATACAATATCAACATTAACCTACCTTGATGACGTCACCTCCTTAGTACTCATAACCTAAATGATGCTAACTATCTGATCTCACCTGGTTACCTGTCCCACCATCACCATCTGTTTAATCACTTGACCTACATCCGCTAACCACCTTACACCCTTGACCTACCTACAACCACGACCTACCTACACTCACAATCTACCTATACCCACTACCTACCTACACCCACTACCACCCTACACATACGACTTACCTACACCCACGACCAACCTACACCCATTACCTATCTACACCTAGTACCTATCAAGTACCTCCACCCACCAAGTACCTACACCCCAGTACCGTACACTATACTTACCGACCCCTTGTGGCGGCCGAGGCAGTGCTCCAACAAGTCAGCCAGGACCCGCACATACCTGTAATGGAAATACCATTAAAATGTCATTATTTACACATCTGCATACCATTAAATAAAACGTGGTCAACATAGTAATGACTGCTAGGGGGGGAGGGGGGGAGAGGGGAAAAGGGGGAAGGGGAATATTAATGAGGCGACACTTGTCAATTTTGGTATATAACTGAGTGTGTGTGTGTGTGTGTGTGTAGTGATGGGTGCAAGACTGACACACACACACGTCGCCCCCTTACCTGCAGCCCGCAACACCTTGTATACCCTCTAATTTGCCTTACGCCAGCCTACAATACGGCAGCATACAAAACTTTATGCCTTTTCCAATCACATAAAACAACAGTGATGACACACACGCACGCACACACGCACGCACACACGCACGTAAACACAAACTCTTTTTTAGAAACAATTTTCTTTATCCTTCTCATACATTATCGCCAAGTCTCTCTCTCACTTATTTTATCTTCACTCCCGTTCGCTCTACCAGACTACGAAACAAATACACTGAAAAGGTAAAAGAAAAAATATAGGAATAAAAAAAAAAAACTTTGCGTAATACAGTGTAAAGGTAATTGTGGAGGTGGAGGCGGCGGCGCATGTAAGGTGTGAGGCAGCGGGCCCAGGGACGCACACCATGACGACCCAGCAGCACGGTACACCACGCGCATAAATATCTTGGCCTGACACGCCCGATTACAGGGTCTGCCTGATTTACTTGGCTCGCTATGACCCAAATCCTGCAAAAATCCCACCCGCGGGCTCGTTACCCCACATGTTATTAGGGGTCGTTTTTCACGGTGCCTCTACCGGCGGTGACCTCTCCATACACCGGCACCGCCAGCCAATACATTATACACCGGTGAGCAAGACGCGTTGCAACCACCACCACCACCAGTAGGATTATCCCCAGCATCACGCGCCTTGCTTCCCTCACCCTGCCACAACACCACCATGTTCCAAGCCTTCCTTACCATGCAACCTACCACAACAACAACACCCTGATATTTGACCCTTCTACCACACTACCACCAGGCTTCTAACCCCTTCCTCATGTTACTCACTGTCCCCTGCCACACCACTACCACCACGATCCCTACCTTCACATTATACCTTGCCTACTACCAAGCTATCACCACTTCCTACGGCCTCCAACTATAACCACTTATGACTTCACTTTTTACTATCAATTTTTGTGGCCTCCCCCTCCTACTGTTGACCTCTACACCTCCCGGCCACAACACCTCCGTCACACACACACTCAAGTCCTCCGTCCTCAACATTCCTTATAAATACAAATCAAAACATCAGACAAACTATTTTTTTGTTAATGAAAACAAAGCACGAAATTCCTAGATTCCCGACACAGAATTATTCCCAGATTCCCAATTTGAGGGCAGCCACTTAGGCTCAGCAGGGACAAGGTTGATCCAAATTACAGGGGCGGGAGTCAGGGGGGCCGTGTGGCGCAGCGACTTTGCAATTGCAGGATCATTACGGCGTATTAATGGTCGGCGAGCGTGCACTCACGACACGCTCCGTCGACCTCACCACCACTTGCTAACCCGCGGACACCCGACCCAACCTTCCACTTACACTTACCTACATCACCCTCACACGTGCTCTGTTGGGCCACCACACTCATCCCTGCCACAGGAAGTGAGTGGGAAGCATAGGGAGTGAGTAGAAGGCAGAGGAAGTGAGTGGGGGAGACAAGAGAGAGTGAGAGACAGGAGTGAGTGGAGGTTGAACAAGGAGTGGAGATCCGGCCATGACTGGAGGTGTCAACTGGTGCACAGTGACTCCCGTCCTTCATCCCACACACTATTATCTCCTCCGACTCAACAGTATTCACACACACACACACACACACACACACACAGATGACATAATATATTAACTGATTACAGAAGCGTGTAACGTGGTCATGTAACCTTCAAAATGTAACAACAACAAACAGTAGTCCAGTGTTGCCAACTTGCCACACCCTGTAGCGCACAACAGTCCTGGCCAGCGGTAATTGTTATAACCTTATACCTCAACTTACAGCTTTAACGAGAGCTCCGGGAACACAGCAAATCCCCGGACAGCCAGATGAACGCTGCCCCGTCCTACACACCTGACACAGTACTGGCGCACACACACACACACAAGTAACTTCAATATCAAACCCCAGCACCATAACGAAAAGACAGACACACAGACATGATAAATTACCACATCTGGAATCCGCGGCAAAAAAAATGGAAGTTTGAGAATTGTAAGTTAAATTCAATTGACTACAGCGTCTCATTATTGATCATAAGTGTACCAAGGTGAAGAGATGCTCACACTGTGTAGACTATAGTGTGTGTGCCAGACATACACACTCACACAAACTTAACATATGCACCAACACAAACATACAAACACGCACACAAAAACACACACATGCAAACATATATATATATATATATATATATATATATATATATATATATATATATATATATATATATATATATATATATATATATATATATATATATATATATATATATATATATATATATATATATATACATATACACACACGCACACAGTCTCTCTCTGCAGGTGTTTATGGCGACAATTTACACTCTGGTCCCCGGGATATTACAATAAAAACAAATGAGAATGAACTTACAACACTACGATCATCACCACTGACAGGCTTGGCCCCTCTTCACTGTGTGTGTGTGTGTGTGTGTGTGTGTGTGTGTGAGTGTGTTTGTGTGTGAGTGGCTACAGAAACACCTGGTCAAGGGATAATACTTTTCAAAACGACAAAACGTCCCTCAAATGTCGTACCATTAGCCTGTGTAAGGTGTAGTGTGTACTGTAGTGAACATCTCAATCCCTCTACCTGCTTTAATTAACTACATGCAGGTAAATACATTCGCCTTCTATTCATATACACCTGGATCAGAAGGTCAATCAACATCTATTTACTTTTAACACACACAAAAAAATACCCTTAAGCGCTTCACAAGATCTAACAACACTCTTATTCCCTTCTGATAAATCTTTCTGTTGCCAATGCCGTAACGATTTCAAAAGCATTGTAACCAATAACACCGGAGCAATATTGTCCACAGTAGAATAGTGGTGGAGCGTGTGGCGGCCGGTGCATGGTGTGTGAAGGTGACCAATACCACCTCCACCGCTGACCGCACGGCCGCTGTTTCTTCTTGTAGGTGAGGTGACCGTTAGCCTGGATCCCTACCTATGAGTGCTTCCTCTTTCAGTAAACTTCATTAGCTCACTGCCTTGCTAAAGTTAGTAGTCAACACACATTCTTCCTAAATATTTCGTCACAAAAATAAACTGAAGTCATATCAAATATCATAAAAAAACCTGGCAATTGCGAGTTTAGGAATATATTTTAAACGAGTTCTAAACGAGACATTGCTGTGGTGGAAGTGGAGCCTCGCAAAACACACACACACACACACACACAGTCTTTAATTCACAACACACACATACACCACCGTCAAGTTATTTATCCAAAATTAATCCGGTTCAGTCCAGCCAGGCAACCGTTGGCTCTTCACGGCACATAAAAATATATTCCACAATACAACAGAACCATTACAATAAACGTATCATAACCGTTCACATAAAAATTATTGTTTCAGCATATAACTTTTCCTTCTCTTACGTTTCCTTAAATTTGAAACGCCATAAAACGACCAGAAAATAAAATAAAAAAACAGACAAAATGTTTTAGTATGTGCGAATAAATAAATGAACAAATAAATAAAAACTCCAGCAATAATGAAAGGACCATAAACAAGAACCCGACGACTCCACATTTCTATAATAATAATAATAATAATAATAATAATAATAATGTGTTTAGCTCTGAACCAACATATCCCTCCCTCCCTCCCTCGTCTTCCCGGCCATTATATAATGTAAGAGTTGTTTTTTGCATTTAAAATCCTACATTCCAGGTTTTTATTATAATTCCCTGCTTATTGTTCTAATTATGGTGTTTATGAACTCTGACACACACACACACACACAAATGCAGTAAAATAATAATAATAATAATAATAATAATAATAAACTAGCCAACAGTCAGCTCGGGTAAGAAGCACCAAACTTCACGCCCCAGAGACCCGCGTTCACGTATCCGAAAAAAAAAATGACAAAATTATACACACCCAATTAATTTATGAAAGTTAAGTAACGACCTACTTCCTAAACCCACAAATTTGTATAAAAACACCCCATGATTTATCCTCTACACTGTGTTCTGGTTAAAAATCACAACAACAACTTTTACAAAATACACAGTAATATTTTAAAAGTAACCAAATGTCTTTAGAATTTTCATAAGATTACTATTATGGAATAAATATTGACACGTAAAAAACTGAACATACTAGAGATATTTATTAAAGGTGTTTGTTTTATATGACAATAATGCGCAAGACAAGGTAAACAAAGACAAGGTAAACAAAGAGAAGGTAAACAAAGACAAGGTAAACAAAGAGAAGGTAAACAAAGAGAAGGTAAACAAAGAAAAGGTAAACAAAGAGAAGGTAAACAAAGAAAAGGTAAACAAAGAGAAGGTAAACAAAGAAAAGGTAAACAAAGACAAGGTAAACAAAGAAAAGGTAAACAAAGACAAGGTAAACAAAGAAAAGGTAAACAAAGACAAGGTAAACAAAGACAAGGTAAACAAAGACAAGGTAAACAAAGAAAAGGTAAACAAAGACAAGGTAAACAAAAACAGGAATAAAAACAAACCGAATATTTACATAATTTACTAAACGCTACCAACCCCATGACCACGCCGAGGTGACAACTACAGCCTGACTGATCACGAAAACAAAACAAATAACTTGACATTTATTATATCAGTCAATTCTGCAATATTAAACTTTTATAAACTAAATTAATGCTATCCAATTAGTTTAACAGTGCGAGAAATAACACAGGG